TTGAAAAAAATCACTAAAATGGATAAACTTCTAGCCAAACTTATCAACAAAAAAAGAAAAGACCAAAATAAATAAAATTACAAATAAGAGAGAAAAAATAACAACCAATACCATAGAAATACAATCATAAGAGAATATTATGAAAAACTATATGCCAACAAATTGGACAACCTAGAAAAATGAATAAATTCCTACAAACATAACTATCAAAACAGAAACAGGAAGAAATAGAATATTTGAACAGACTGATAACCAGTAAAGAAAATGAATCAGTAATCAAAAAACTAGCAACAAATGAAAGACCAGATGGCTTCGCTGGAAAATTTTACCAAACATTTAAAGAAGAGTTAATACCTTTAATTCTCAAACTATTCCAAAAAATAGAAAAGGAAGAAAAACTTCCACATTCATTCCATGAGGCCACCATTGCCCTGATATCAAAACCAGATAAAGACACTATGAAAGGGGCACCTGGGTGGCTCATTCAGTTAAGTATCTGCCTTTGGCTCAGGTCATGATCTCAGGGTCCCGAGACAGAGCTCCGTGTCAGGCTCTCTGCTCAGCAGGGAGTCTGCTTCTCCCTTTCCCTTTCCCCCTCCCTCTCTGATCTCTCTCATTCTCACTCTGTCTCAAATTAAAAAAAAAAAAAAAGACACCATAAAAAAAAAGAGAGAGAGAGAACTTACAGGCTAATATCTCTGATGAACATAGATGCAAAAGTCCTCAATAAAATACTAGCAAACCAAATCCAACAATACATTAAAAAAATTATTCACCATGATCAAGTGGGATTTATTCCTGGGTTGCAAGGGTGGTTCAATATTTGCAAATAAATCAGAGTGACACATCACATCAGTGAGATAAAGCATAAGAATGATCATTTCAATAGATGGAGAAAAAGCATCTGATGAAGTGCAACATCCATTCATGATTAAAAACCCTCAGCAAAGTAGGTTTAGAGGGAACATACCTCAACATAATAACTCAAAATAATAAACTCAACATAATAAAGGCCATATGTGAAAAACTCACAGCTAACATCATCCTCAATGGGGAAAACCTGGGAGCTTTTCCCTTAAGGTCAGGAACAAGGCAACGATGTCTACTCTCACCACTTTTATTCAACATAGCACTGAAAGGGGCGCCTGGGTGGCTCAGATGGTTAAGCGTCTGCCTTCGGCTTGGGTCATGATCCCAGGGTCCTGGGATCGAGCCCTGCATTGGGCTTCCTGATGAGCAGGGAGTCTGCTTCTCCCTCTCCCTCTGCCTGCCATTCCCCCTTCCTGTACTCTGTCTGTCAAAATAAATAAAATCTTAAAAAAAACAAACAAACATAGTACTGGAAGTCCTAGCCACAGCAATCAGAAAACAAAAAGGAATAAAAGACATCCAAACTGGTAAAGAAGTAACACTTTCACTATTTGCAGATGGCATGACAGTATATATGGAAAACCCAAGGACTCCATGAAAAAATGGCTAGAACTGATAAAAGAATTCAGTAAGGTCACAGTATACAAAATCAATATGCCAAAATCTGTTTTGTTTCTATAGATCAATAATGAAGCAGCAGGAGAAACTAAGAAAACAATCTCATTTACAATTGTACCCAAAATAATAAGACACCTAGGAATAAACCTAACCAAAGAGGTAAAAGACCTGTACTCTGAAAACTATAAAACACTGATGAAAGAAATTGAAGGTGACAGAAATGGAAAGACATTCCATGCTTATGGATTATAAGAAAAAATATTGTTAAAATGTCTATACTACCCAAAGCAATCTACACATTTAATGCAATTCTTATCAAAATAACAACAGCATTTTTCACAGAACTAGAACACACAATCCAAAAATTTGTATGGAACCATAAAAGACCTTGAATAGCCAAAACAATCTTGAAGAAGAAAAGTAAATCTGGAGGCATCACGATTCTGGATTTTAAGTTATATTACAAAGCTCCAGTAATCAAAACAGTATGGTACTGGCCAAAAATAGACACATAGATCAATGGAACAGAATAGAAAACCCAGAAATAATAATATAATAATACTGTCAATTCAACTTTGACAAAGCAAAAGGAATATCCAGTAGAATAAAGACAGTCTCTTCAACAAATGGTGTTGGGAAAACTGGACATTTACATGCAAAAGAATGAAATTGGACCACTTTCTTACACCACACACAAAAATAAATTCAAAATAGTTTGAAGTCCTAAATGTGAGACCTGAAACCATAAAAATTGTAGAAGTGAACACAGGCAATAACTTCTTTGACATCAGCTATAGCAACATTTTTCTAGATATGTCTCCCGAGGCAAGGGAAACAAAAGCAAACAAACTATTGGGACTACATCAAAATAAAAATCTTCTGCACAGCAAAGGAAACAATCAACAAAACTAAAAGGCAACCTATGGAATGGCAGAAGATATTTGCAAATGACATATCTGATAAAGGGTTAGTATCAAAAATATATAAAAAAACTTATAAAACTCAACAACCAAAAAACAAATAATCCAATTAAAAATGGGCAGAAGACATGAAAAGACATTTTTCCAAAGAAGACATACAGATGGTCAACAGACACGTGAAAAATTCTTCATCATTAATCATCATCAGGGAAATGCAAATCAAAACTACTGTGAGATATCACTTCATACCTGTCAGAATGGCTAAAATCAAAAAGAGAAGAAATAGCAGGTATTGGTGAGACTGGAGAAAAAGGAGCACTGGTGCACCGTTGCTGGGAATGCAAACTCGTGCAATCACTGTGGAAAACAGTATGGAGATTCCTCAAAAAGTGAAAAATAGAAACTACCTTATGATCCAGCTATTACATTACTGGGTATTTACCCAAAAGATACTAAAATACTAATTCAAATGGATATGTGCACCCCTATGTTTATAGCAACATTATTTACAATAGCCAAATTATGGAAGCAGCCCACATGTCCATCAACTGATGAATGGATAAAGAAGTGGAATAACAATGGAATGTTATTGAGCCATAAAAAAGAATGAGATATTGCCATTTGCAAGGACATGGATGGTGCTAGATTATATTATGCTAAGTGAAATAAGTCAGTCAGAGAAAGACAAATACCATATTATTTCACTCATATGTGGAATTTAAAAAACAAAACAAAAGAGGAAAAGGGGGAAAAGGAGAGAAAAGAGAGACAAACCAAGAAACAGACTTAATTATAGAGAACAAACTGATGGTGGTGGGTGGGAGGGTGGGTAAAATAGGTGATGGGGATTAAGGAGTGCCCTTGCTGTCATGAGCACAAGGTGTTGTATGGAAGTATTGAATCAGTATATTGTACACCAGGAACTAATATAACACTGTATTTTAACCAACTGGAATTAAAATGAAACCTTAAAAAACATGAAGAACAATAAAATTATACCTCTATCTCACACAGCTCACAAAAATTAACTTGAAATGGATCATAGATTTAAACATAAAACCTGATACCATAAAAATCTTAGAAGAAAACGTAGAGAAGAAGCTCCTCAATGCTGGTCTTGGCATTGATTTTCCGGACATGACACCAAAAGCACAAATAACAAAAACAAAAATCAACAGGTTGGACTACATCAAATTTAAAGGCTTCTGCACATCAACAGAAACAATTAACAAAGGGAAAAGACAACCCATGGAATGGGAAAAACTTTTTGCAAACCATATATTAGACAATGAGTTAATATCCAAAATATATAAAGAACTCATACAATTCCATAACAAAAAAGAATCTGATTACAAATTTGGCAGAGGAACTGAATAGATATTTTTCCAAAGAAGACATCCAAGTGCTCAACAGGTACATGAAAAGTGGTCAACATCACTAATCATCAAGAGAAATGCAATCAAAACCACAATGAGATATCCCCTCATACCTGCTAGAATGGCTATGATCAAGAACAAAATGTAAGTGTTGGCAAGGATATGGAGAAAAGGGAACCCCTGTACACTGTTAGTGGGAATGTAAATTGGCTCAACCACTATGGAAAACAACGTTGAGGTTCATCAAAATATTAAAAATAGACCTACCATATGATGCAGCAATTCCATTCTGGGTATATATCCAAAGGAAATGAAAACAGGATATCAAAAAATACATATACGTTCATGTTTATTGCAACATTATTCACAACAGCCAAGGTACAGAAACAAACTAATTGCCCATACCAATGGATGAATTGATAAAGAGGATGTCACACACACACACACACACACACACACACACACACACACACACACACA